CGCACTTCACAGCAAAGTCAATTGCTTGACTCAATGTTTGAGGATCAGGTAAATTAAGCATCAATTTCTTTACCTCATATTGTAATCCGTAGAGAAATTGACTCACAAGTGCGGCATCATCCCACTTGATATCAGTTGCAAGTTGTCGAAATTGCGAAGCATATAATGTTACTGATCGATTGCCTTGTCGCAAAATACGGATCTTGTTGGTTGCAACACGAATTGCATCATGTTCTCCAAACATGGATCGAAACTCCGCCAAAAAAGCCTCCAGATTATCCAATATTGGATCTCGTCGTTCAAGAATAGATGAAAACCATGACAATGCTGAACCTGAAAGAAGTGTACCAATGAATCTTACTTGTGACCCTGGAGTTGGATAGCTCTGGGGTTGAAGTTCAATCACTAGTTGGACCTGATTGATGAATCCTCGAAACTTGGATCTGGTACCATCAAACTTCTCGGGCAAGGCAACTCTCGGTTCTCTAACACTCGAAGGGTGTTCCATTCTGGGAGAAGGGACATGGTTTGGTGCAGATGTTGAAGCAGCCCCAATCATCTCTATATCTTCACTTCCTACCATTTTTGTTGCTCTTTGTGGTGGTAAATTGAGTTGATGCATCGCAAGCATTAACTCCCTCAATTGTTCTTGCATCTGTGCCATTGCACTCTTCATTTCAACAAGCTCTGTCATAGTAGCACTTAGAAAAGAGAAGATGTCTAATAACGCTCAAAACAAATAGAAGAGAGGAATTGATAACAAAGAAAATACTAAGAACAATATCAGTTTAAAAGAGGGTAATCCGCAACTTCTAATGCGCTTATGTCTTATCAAGAAAAAGGGGTAATCCACTCTTAATCAAGAAAAGACAAAGCTCTGATATTGTAAGTGTACTCTTGTCAATCTGTCAAGGACAAGAACTCGATGAAAGCTAAAGAGTAAGTGAGACTTTTCTCAAAAAGAAATAGGACAAAATAGAAATATGTATATTAAGAAAGAAACTGGAATGGCTATTGCCAAAATACAAGAAAACTAGAGACCCTTGAAACTAGACTAGAAGCAAGAAAGGAGTTGACAAGAGTGAAGAGGGCTTCACTCTTGCCTCTATATATACTATCTAACTAGAAGCCACGTGGCGATGTTCTATAAGACCTCCAATATATGTTGACTTTCTAGGCCACATGCCTTTGCTTGCAAGGCAAGTTTTCTATGGATGGACCACGTAGTTAGCTTGTTCTTTAAGCCTCCAACATGTGTGGCACATGGCTAACTTGTTGACCAAGTTTCTAACCTAAAAGTCAACTATAGACTCCTATAAAGTCAAAGCAGCGTCTATGAAGCTTCTAAGAAGCTTCTCTAGAAGATATTACACAATTAACCTACTTTTATCTACTTTTACATACTTTTATCTATTCATATAGGTAATTATATGTATGTCCGTGACAGAAAGTACACCCAATCTTTCATGTTTCTTTCTTGGAGCCTTATCTAAAGTCATCTTTTCATGAAAAAAAACAATGTCTGCCACCTAGTATTGAAATTGAAGACCACGAAGAATACAAGGTAGAAAAGGTTCTAGATTCATGGTGTAAGTGGAGAAAATTGGAGTACCTAGTGCATTAGAGCGGCTATGATATCAATGAGCGCACATAGAAATCAGCGGAAAATCTTATCAATACGTCGTAAAAGGTACATGAGTTTCATCAATGCTATCCTCAGAAACCTAAGTCCTTTTGATGAAAGTTTTTCAATGAAGTCCCTTCTCCTTGAAGCCTTTTAATCCTCGGCCTTACAAAGAAGGGGGAGAAGGAACCTCTAAAAGATATAGTTAGAGACTATAAATCTGTAACCTGAGTCCATTCTTCCATGTTTAGTGCTTGTTTTTTCGGTCTAATATGGATAGCCAAGAGATAGATACCATTCCAATCATGTCCTCTCAACCGAGTATCTCACAAAGACGACTCCGAGATGAAGAACCGCCTGTACCACAAAGACGACGGAGGATACCTAGTAACAGATTGCTAATGATTGTATTTGAGGTAGAACCTACCTATGGTGATTTTTTCGAAGGAGTATTTGCAAGGCATTTTCACAATGAAGACACAGAAGTTCATGCTTGGTCGGAAATCAAAGGTGTAGGACACTATCATTGGTTACAAGGACTAATGATCTACTTGCTGTGCAAACATCAATTGGAGTATATTCCAGACATTAAGTAATAAATTTTCAACTTCTTACATTAGTACTGACTCGTAATAGGATTGCTTCTCGGAGACCTCAAAGCTAAATGGAGGGATGATATCAAGGACATATACTAAGAAGTTGTAGAAGATTCTAGTAGATTCTAGAGAAGCTTTGTAGTTTGTAGAAGCTACTTGAGAAGTTTTCAAGCTCGTAGAAGCTGCTTGAGAAGTTTCTTAGCTTGTGGAAGCTGCTTGAGAAGCTTCTTAACTTGTAGAAGCTGCTTGAGAAGCTTCCTAACTCGTAGAAGGTGCTTGAGAGGCTTTCTAATTTATGGAAGCTACTTAAGAAGCTTCCTAGCTTGTAGTATATATAGGAGCCGAGACCGAGGGGATCCTTAGTCTTGACAACACACCTCTTGAAGCTCTAACTCACCTCTCTAGTATTGTTCTTATACTCATCTGATTAATCTAGTTCTTGCTGATTTTTCTTGAGCTTCTTGTTTAGATTTCCAGTCAATATTCTAAATTCGTGACACATGGCTAATAAAAAAAAAAAACAATAATTTATGGATTCTATTGGCATTTATTTTAAATCCAATGATGATCCTTACATTTTTTATTTTTTTATTTTTTTTTTTTTTTGTAGCCAACTATTTACTATTGAATAATGGTTTGGTTTGGCATCATATTGTAAAATAATCTTGTTTCATCCATATTATAAATATTACACAAATTATAACTTATAATGAGGGCTTTAGAATAGACATTGCTTCATCCATACCAACTTGATTAGCTTAATCTCCCTCTCAATGTATTTTGATAACCTTCAACTTATGGCAAGAAAGAAACTTTTCAAACCAGCTATTGAAAAACTTAATTTTGCATTTGAAAATTATAAGCATCTTTGTAAAGCATTAATCATCATTCTTTATGGGCTCTAATCACAATAATATATTTTAAGCTTGGCACTTAAAAATCCACAAAATAAGTACTTCCTTGAGTTCAAAAAAGTGAACCATCTTTAGGCACTTTGGTTGAAGTTGGTTGTTATCTATTGCTTTGTATTTGTTATGTTTCTTTAAGCTCTTACTAATGCTGACTTGTGAAGGTACTTTTGTAAAGTTAAATTCAATTTTAGCCCACTTGGCAAGGATAATCTATAAGATTGAAGGCTTCACATTCTTTTGTTTGCAGATCTATAGCCGCTACACATTAGTAAAGTGCGACATTGTTATGGTACTTCAGTCAAATATTCTAGTCTAAAGAGATGGGTTAGAATGCTCTCTTTGTGAGTTTTTTAAGACTAAAAAGATACATATTGATGTGCTTTTTGCAACTTATATACAGTGACAAGGTGTTAGGTGTGTAGAAGAGAATGTACCAGGTGAGTTGCAAGTTTACACACAAAACAAGTTTTGAACAAATTGATCATATGACGGCCTCGATAAGTTTTAATTTCCTACAATTATGTTGAGGAAGGCAAATTGACCATATAACTTAATAGATGTAATACTATATATACGTTGTAGTTATAATTACAAAAAATAAAAATAAAATTATTTTATGTAATATTGTGTAAAAATTATTTTTTTGTTTAAAATCACTTCCAAAATCTAATTTTAATCTTTATTTCTATTAAAACACATCACATTTGATTTCAAAAATAAGAATAAAATCCATTTAATATTTTTTAGCTTAAGAGAGATAATTAATTACTTAGAAAATATTGATAAATAATATATATATATATATATATCTCAAAATATTTTAGATATGATTTAATAAATAAAATTACTTATAAAAATAAAATACATGGAAACACCATTGTGTAAGATCAAAATAAGAACTTGTGTTTACAATTTTCCTAAACCACAAAACCAATGATAGCAAAATGACCCTAAACAAATGATGAAAAATTGAACCTAAAAGTTTTGAAAGTATTCCAATGAGGTTGGCAATTTTTATTTCACTTTATAAAACTTAAATATATCTAATAAAACATACTTAGAATCCTTTGTCTCCACAATGTCATTAATTAAACATATGAGCAAACATTTATATAAACCAAGAACTTGTTTGAGATAGAAATCTATCATTACTATTAAGCCAACCCACACTAATTAACAAACCTCCCTTAGATCATCAAAAGATTTATATAAACGAGGGCTCTACTCCCACCCTATGCATAGATCTGTTGTGAATGATAAAATGAAATGTTCAATATTTATCTGCAAGACCCATTTGGGGGTAGTTATAGAAAACTTGTACACATACACCAAAACGTAATTTCGTTTTTTTCTTTAAAATCAATTCACAACACATCAAATACATGCAAAATATCCCAGCCACATCCATTCGTCACCATCAGCGTGACTGTGCACTGAGGCACTAATAGTCAAAAGGGAAACAGCCCAATCCTGACAATCCAACCAAGATATCTAACTACGTGTACGCCTGATACCTAGGTGATATCCGATTTTCATACACGCAGAGGTTTAAGAACCAGCGTCGTGTGCCGACGACGGGGGTGGGGCAAGCTGGACGGCGGGTGTCGTGGTCGCTCACTGCTTGCGGCAGCATATCTCCGCCGCTGTGCCGTACTCTTCCCCGATTTTGTCGTCCTAAGCCAAACATCGTCAGCTCTGTTACTGATCGCCTGACTCTGCATCTCGTGCTCAATCCAACGACCTTCTTCGGGACGTTTTGTGAGCCACAGTGGCGCAGCTTCTGAGCCGCTCTGTGCCGTCCTGCTGCTGCTCCTCATTATCGTTCCGTTTACAGTTGCCGGTTCGGCTGGAGGGGCTCTGGTGAGGACACACGTGGCTTGTGTGTTTTTTTGTATATAGCCGCTGTCGCGAATCTATATTTGGTATGGAATTATTTTTGCTAACTTTTGTCGAGGATCAGTGGTGACGTTGCGAGTCGAAATGGTAGTTTGTGGGCGATTGTGGGATTCTGATCTCTTGCAAAGATCTTGCGTCGCGTGGCCCTCGGGAAACTGGTGTGATGGTTCGTGGGGAGATTGCCTGATGAGATTCTGGTGGCGTGGTTATGGAGTGTTTTGTTTTGAGTGCGTGTAGGTTCACTAGCGGTTTAGTGTCTTTCGAGGTTCTGGTCCCGCTTCTGGTGCCAGGGTTTCTGGTCGCCTTCGTTTCAGTTACTCTTTGTTTGAAACTTTAGTGAAAACTCCTCCTAATGTCCTGAGAACATTGCTTTGTCAGATTTTTTTTGCAGATAGTCTATTCATTGAATTTTCCCACAGCCTATTGTGTGTTCCTGAAGATTTTCGGATCTCATGTATAGTAGAACGGTTCTCTGTTGTTCCTTGCTTTTCAAATTTGCTCTTTTGCATCATTATATTCTTTCACTTCAGAATTTTTTCTGCATCTGATCGCATTCGTATGCCTTTTTGTCCTCCTACCTTTATCTCAAGTTTATTTATCTGCTTCGAGTTCACTGATTAGCAGGAACCGAAGCAACATTTTGTGTTTACAGTTTCCTTGATTTTCGACGTTTTGCGTCTCCTCTGTTGCTTAGTTTTTTAGCTACTGATTCCAGAAGCTCCTCGAACATTCCCGAGCCTTGTTTGACACAGTAGTACTGTTCATACTGTGGCGACCTCAAGTATGCTACACTTTCGAATACCAAAGAGAGAGTGGCCACAGTCACGAAATTCAGGACGAAAGCGCCAGCAAGGCATTGCGAAGTTCAATTAGCCGTGAGCATGCCTTCAGTTGTAGGGGAATCCGGTTTTCTCAGTAGAATTACGAACCAGAAGGAGGTGATGGTCTCTTTAGCTTGTCTCTCCCTCGTCATTCTCACCCTCCTATTTGGCCATGGAAGCGCGGCTGTTCTTCTGTTCAACACTAAAAATGAATCTCGATCTTTTCCGGACATGGAAGCTGCCTTCAGTACGTTCTCAAGCATCCTTTCTTGCGGCACATACCCTGATCTTTTTGTAGCTTCATGTATCTCAATAAAAATTACGGTAAAAGGCATGGTAAGGTGCATTGCTGATATTTTGCTTTTCTGTTTGTGCAGCTCCTTCCATTCCCAGCGGAGGCGTAGCTGGGATCTTGCACGAAGCAAATCCACTCGACGCATGCTCACCCCTTAAAAATCTCATTCCGAAGGGAGAGCCATTGCCTCCTTTTGTTTTGGTATCACGGGGCAGTTGTAATTTTGATAAGAAGGTGAAGAATGCTCAAGATGCCGGCTTTCAAGCTGCGATTGTGTACAATAGTATGGATTTTGTCGGTGACTTGGTTATAAGTAAGCCTCTGACACATCATTTGGGTTTGCGTGTTCTGTCGCTGAAAGCAGTGCTCATACTTGCCACCTAGTTATTATTCTATTGTATTCCAAAGGTTTCAGACCTGTTAAAGCTTTTAACAAGAATTAGAGAGTCCTAATGATGAATTAGATCACGTATTTATTTATTGGTATCTTTTATCTTGACGTCCAAGACCACCATTTTTGGTAGCACTGATGTGCTAACCTGATTTTTTGCTTGCCTTTGCAGTGTCAGGTTCACCTGAGGGTATTGACATTTATGCAGTATTTGTCTCTTGGCTTACTGGACAAGCCCTTTTGGGTGCTGTCGGTGACAACAATACATGTACCCTGGTACCATATATTGAGGATACCGCCTGGTCAATCATGGTTGTGTCTTCGATCTCGCTCCTTGCCATTTCAGCGGTGTTGTCTACGTTTTTCTTTGTCCGTCGGCATAGCTTACGACATCGCGGTTCTCGGTTATTATCTAGGGAACCCTCTGGAATGAACGCACGGGATGTGCACGCATTGCCCACCTTAATTTTCAAGGCTGTTGGAGGAGCTGCTACTGGAGAGATGTGTGCTATCTGCTTGGAGGACTATGAGAGTGGAGAAAAACTGCGACTCTTACCTTGTCAGCATGGTTTGTTGCTCTAACGAACTAAATCTTGCTCGTGTGATGTAGCCTAATCCAGCAGTAAATGGGCATTTTAAATGTCTCTTTAATGCTTTCCATAAAAGATTTGCATGCCTATCTGTCACAAGATCGAGATAATTTTTCGTCAGATATTAGTTAGTAGTTATAGGACCTCTCGTTGCTGATGCAGGCATTCGTGGTATGGTTATCTATTCAACTTTCAATAGAGGTTTTTGGGCACTGAAATCTGCAATAATTATCGTCTCATGTGCAGACTTTCACGTCGGCTGTATAGACCAGTGGCTACTCACGCGGAGACGTTTTTGTCCAATATGCAAGCAGGATGCAAGCTCAGCACCTGTTCATCCATCAGCTACAGAGACAACACCTCTGCTCGTTGCTCCAAGTCACATTTTCTCGGTCCCCGCCACCGCTTCAGCAGCTACTCAGACATCACCTGTAGGCTCTCCTACAATTCAAACCATCCAATCATCGCCTTCAGATGTGTCGGGAGAGAACCTATGCTAACTCTTACCTTCATGTATACTTTCTAGAGACGGCTGTTGGAACAAGATGTAATTGTAGGTTCAGATAATCTGAATTCCATTTAGTTAATTTATGTGTTCAATAGTGAACAACGTTTGTGGAAGTGCTTAGTATCTTTAAACAACTTGCATTGAAGGTGATAGCATAAATGTAAATACTGGGGTGTAAAATAGAGTCCTGAAGTTCCTGCAGAACATGGCAATTGCTCTGGTGTATAGTGAACATTTTTACAACATACCAGAGCTATTGCATGCGATATTTGAAGAGTCATTACATAATCAAGCTGTCGTTGCTTAGTAGATGCACAAACACAGACGTTATACCAACCTGCGTTCTGACTGAAATACTTTTGCTTAATACACAAATTGTGTATTGAAGATCTTTCACTAAAGTGTAGGCTAGCGTTGCCTAAATCGCTGCGGATGAAAATCCACATACTTGGACTCGAAAGTTAGAACACAAAACGGACCTGTTCATTAGAGTTGACAATGTCTTCCCGCATGTTCCTCATTTTGCATCACCTGAACCGCAAAATTTGCAATTGTGGGTTCCCTTCAATAAAGGACCTTTACTACACCAATACTGCTCTAAATCCGAAGTACTCCGCTAGTACAATTGATTCATGTAATTCTAATTTCAGGCAGAATTTCACTGAATAACAATCGACTTATAAAGCTTTACTCTGACCTACGCATGAGAGACAAATTGTCAGCAAGACTTGTAGATAGTAGTCGAGATGGTCTTTGCGATAGAAGGGAATCATTGTATGCGTATGGCTTTACCTTTTATTGCTTCAAACGCGTGATAAAAAACATGCTTGAATGCGACTATTGGATAACAAGCAGCCCCAACCATGAATGTGTAATTCAAAATTGTAAATATTCAAATGTTCTCGAAACTGATGGTCCCACGTTGCAACGAACGTCAACATACCAGTACTGAGACATCATGCAGACATCGTGTAATGGAAGGCATCTTAATGCCCGCATATCGTTCATCCAAAAAAGGCACAAAAGTTGTGCACAGACTTGTCCTTGAGCAATCTCGAACAATTTTGAACAACAAATTTGAACATTTGAAGTGTCAGAATTGTTGAACATACACAATCTAAAGCTATCCGACAACAGTGCCTTGAGATTTGCTTAAATGTTTATAAGCGTCCATTCCTGGTGGTATGAAAACAATGTCACCCCAGCCTGAATCCTCTTCGTTGCCCTGCAATATTTGAAACAAGTAGAATACATAAACATCATGTAATGTCGTATTCTACCATGCATAAAATTCAGACATGTGGAGGATGATACGGTTCCACGTACTTGCGCATAACATACTAAAAAACAACTTCCATGAACTTGAAAGTTTTTTGACAACTCTATTAACCATAAGCTAAAAATTGAAATAAACGGAATATTCGCTCAAGGTCGGTGCAAACTAGGGTAAGTATGATGAGCATACCTCCATTCTCTTTAGAACATCTTCGAAGCTACCCACCTGCTAGTTACAATCAAGCACAATTCGGTCAATTAATTAGTTACTCGATGTATAAAATACCAACGAGATCATAGAAAAGGAAATTAGCACTACATTGTACCTGTATATCTGTGCTGACCTTCAATGCTGGATTAATCTTCTGTTGTTGTTTGAAAGCTCTCTGTAGAGCGGTTTCCAAATCCTCCTATAAATTGGACAGAGGATACATAGTAAAGTCAGTTGCAATAGAATTTCTAAGCATAACAAAATGCTAGATAATATCACTAGTACCAAAAAATACAAAAAATAAATAAAGAAAAAAAGTCAAAAAAGTCAAAACGATCAAAAACATCAACACAACGATGTTAAAACCAGAAGTGTGGAGTTTCATCAGTAAGCAAGTTCACCAGACTTTAAATAGCTGTCTATGAGCATTTTGTGTTGAAAGAAATACAAAAGAAAATTTATCCACGAAATTTACAACACTTTTTATTTTTTATTTTTTATTTAAGTAAAAAAAAGATCAAGATCATGATCGAAATTCGAAGTGAGCTTAAATTGAAAGATGACTACATCAGCTCAGTGTCATGTTCGCCTGAATTCATAACATCTGCTCGGCACAAGAAAGGTCACCTTGGAGAAGAAGATGGGACAAAATCGTCGGTTATTGCTTCTTAAAATGAGATTATCAGACTGCACATGATAACAACCAGCTTAATAATCCTTCGTCAAATAAACCACCCTGTATTGTCCATCCCTTCGTCAAAATGTCAAATATTAGCAACAAAAGACAATATCTACTAGGCGAAGGCAAGGCCTTTCTGTAACTGACGATTATTTACTTGTTGTTGTACCTGAAAAACTGGTACTCCATCAAAAGCCTTGCCTGGTTCTCCAGCCCTTGATCTTGCCTACATATTTAAAAGATAGCGTTGGACTAAGGGTTTAAAATCCACTTTCAATAAGCGAGGAAAAAGTGCTTGAACACGCTTTCATACGACTGTAACTAAGACATATCCCACTCGAGCAACAGAAAAGTAGCACCCGCTTGATACCATAGAACAAAAAATAAATGGAGTTCAGCCATCGTGCACTTAACATACAACACAAATAACCAGATCAGCGAAGACAATAGAGGATATGAAGAAAAGTCAAATACCTCTAGTGCATTCTTGACTTGGCGAGGATCAGGTAGGAAACGAAATGCTATGCCCTCTGTGCTAAGCTGGTAGACCTGCGAAAAATACGAAAATTATGTGTAAGAACTCACGTAGAAGAAAATCATTGTCCACGCACGTCTGACCAAATGCGGCAAGGCTTCAAGATGGTGCAAGTCACACATCGGGTTTTACGACCATAAATCTCTAGGGTTTAAGATTCACAGAAGTCCTCACCTTGTCAAGTGACACTGCCACAACTTTGGCTCCACGACCTAGAGATGGCTCACGATCCCGGACCTACGCAAAGAGAAGAAATTCAGAAGGTACTACTCATGTTCAATCATTCAGCACAATTGTGATAGAACACAACGGGTATAGGAAGAGGTGAACAACCAAAATCGAGTGTGTAGCAGTGTCGTAGCAAGAACAGAAAGCTCATCCATAAAAACGTGTATGATGTAATCAGCATAACAGAGACCTCTAACGACGTGCATGTTAACAGAAATATCGTTCGAGGAGATGATTGCTATGAAAAAGTTGTCACGACTTCTATTACCACTACAATCATCTAAATGCACAGCAAGTACCTGTGAAAGAAGTGCTTCGGCGTCAGCTTCTCGAAAGCAGAAGATTCCTAGAGACTTCGATGTGTTGAGGTCCGAAATAAGCACAAATTCATTAGCAGAATTGCTCACAGTGTAAACTGGAACCCCGTCTAACCTCTTAGCCACTTGTTCACCGCTCATTGCAATGTCAAACACGTGCTTCGCTTCCAATGCTTCACCACCTTGTGCAGGTAATCCAAGCGACAATGAAGCAATGAGAGGCCGAGGAGCTCCACGGTTCCAAATCATCCGCAGCATTGCCTCCGGAATTCCAGCCTTAGATCGTTGGAGTTGAGCTTCAAATTGAGCTCCAAACCCTGACATCGCCGTCCACACCTTCTCCCACGGTAACTGCCCACTCCTAATCTTTGAACGCGGATCACTCCTTCTATTTCCAATCCTCTCCATCTTCTGAACCATCATTCCTCTCCCATCTTCAATCGACAGTCCGAACCGCGAAATCCTGTTAGCTCCTTCTGCCACAGCAACCCCGAGCCAATTTTGCGCCTCCACTAATCGCCTCCGCACATCCGACACCACTGCACCCCCGTCTAATAGAGGCCGCCTCTGAGCCATTCTTCTCCCACCCGCAACGTACTCACCCTTGCACGCCGCGCTGCTCCCGGAACCGCCCTCCGTCATATCTACACAACGATAGTATTTCAATTCAAATGCACGGAACAAATATAACGAAATTCCACGTACAACCAATGCGCACTGTGTAAAGATTCACCTGCGAAGCTGGATGTCGGCAACAAGCCAGCGCTACCGAAAAGAAATCTGTGCTTCCAAATCAGTGCCAATTCATGTGCGAAACGATTGCCATAGCCCGCCGACCATTGCTACTACCACACTGATGCCGAAGACAGGCATGAGAGGGTTTAGGATTACGCAGACGAGCTGTGAAAACTGCGCGTGGAACTACGAAGCCCCCTGAACAAACAGAAGCATTCGAGAACCACGGAGGATTCTTTATGAAATGGAGGGAGTTAGGAACCGCGTGTAATACTGAACGACGCGTGGTTGGCTTGCAACGCTGCTTTGTCTGTTCACATTGCAGAAACTGATTCGACGCCCATGATTTACTTCGCTTTGAACTGCGTTCTTGGTTTTGATTCTATTTCAACTTTCCGTGCTTGATACGCGGTTTGTGTATGAACTATCAACTCAAACCAAAATATTTTTATTAACTTAATTAAACTATGTTTAATGAATAAAATATCTTATCATCTCGATATTGTAAAGTTAATGTTTGTGAATGAAATAATTGTTTTATTAATTCATCAAATAATATGTTATCGTTCTCTGTTTATTAATAAATAACCTTACCGATCAACTAGGTATATTTATACTATGGTCTCTACTTAAAGAATATGGCATTTCAATATTTAAATATATAAACAACTATTTTTATTCTACATCTGACAACCGACCCAATTTTAAATTGTAATCGTCATAGAAAATTACAATGCCAAATCTTCAAATATTCTATTGAATAATGGAAATTTCAAAAAAAAAAAAAATAATGGTTAACAAATCAACTCACTATGAATTGTTGCTGAAAGTATTGGAAACATACATGAATTGGTCCTACATAAAAATAAAAATAAACAAAATAAATAAAAGTAATCTCAGCAAATTCCCAAAATCACAAAATTTCACAAACTAACTTTCACAAATTTTCAAATTTCCAAAATTATATTTTGCAGAAATATTATACAGCGAAATCCCAGAAGCTTCGTCCATATGTCATGCACGTAGGAAAATGTTTATCACAACTGTTTACATATTGAGGTAATATTTAGCTTAAGCATATGTCGCCATTTGTTTTGTTCAACCCAACAAGCTCAACCACAACATTCTCACCAAACCCCCAAAATCCTGTTTCGTGGGAACTCTAAAAACACTCACAAAAACATTCCAAACTTGACCAAATTACCTTTAATTATGCATTCATTTACAAATAATAAACCCCCCTCCTTTTACATCCATCCCACACATCAATACTTCTCTAGAATTCTTATCTTATATGCAAAAATTCACAATACATACCCATATAATACCACTCAAAATTCCTAACAACGCAATGAACCTAATCCTGACTACTCTACTTAAGATAAGCTAATAGAACAAAAAAACTCAACCTAGCACATGCACAAATCCACGCAAGCATAAACCTAAGACATGGACTAGTCCACATAAGCACATACCTAAAACATGGAGTAGTCCACGTAACCATAAACCTAAGACATGGGCCATTCCACGTCAGCACACATGTGACATGTATGAGCTAGTCCATGTCAGCAGCACTGACGCACGTGTGCTCCTACTCACACACTTTCTCTCTCACACACAGCCTCACTCACTCATTCATTCATGCACACAATCCTTGCCCTTGACACCTCGTGCATTGCAAGTCGTGCGGCTTGCGACGGCCCTCACGAGGCTACAAACGGTGTAGGCATTGCCGTGGCCTGACCTGGCGCCCTGGGAGGATCCCCGTGCCAGCACCGGAGAGAAATAACCTAAAAGAACAAAAGCAAACGAGGGTGACAGTCGATGTTGCTGACCCACACGCACCCCGGCGCGCCTTCGACGTCGACGATGGCCGAACACACTGGCAGTGCGTTCCCGAGACCCGGTGTGCTAAATTAAGCACCATGCATCGGTCAAACGAAGCTCGGACCGTAGTCTACTCGTGACTCGGGGCGGCACCACCCGCCGTTCGTCCAAGGCCTTTGCTTAGCGTCGTAGACTAGCGCCTCTGGCTGACTGTCTCCATGTGTGTTTGTGTGTCCGTACAATGTCGTGTTGGACGTCGGGACCACGCCTCCGCTGGTGCGCGCGGGCGGGTGATTCTGAGTCCTCGCGCGAGTAGGTAGACGGATGTGTAGTTGCAGGAGTGAGCTGCGCGTGCTGCTGGCTTGAGTTGGTCGATGTGGAGGAGTGTAGAGTTGTCCTCAATGGTGCGGCAATCGTGGCATGCGGGTTGTTTCCCGCTTCATTCTTCCCGCTTAATTATTGTTGCTGTTTTTTTGTAATTGGCGGAGTGATCTGGGGCGTGTTGTTGAGTGCTGGGGCGGAAAGTTTGTTGATAGGGTTAGGATTGTGAAGGAGGGCTGGGGAGTGGAGTGAAGAGCTTTCGTTGAGGTTGGGGTGGTGAAAATGGAAGACCAGCCGCAGTCAAAGCGGAGGAGGAGACCGAGTGTGAGGTTAGGGGAAATTGGATTCGCAGCACCTTACAATGCCTCGGCGCTGTGGACGGAAGCACCGAAGCACCGCAAGAAGCAAGCAGGAGCGGGGACGTCGTCATCGGCAGAAAGGGGGCTGAGTGCTGGAAAGGCGATTAATGGCGTGAAGCCGCCTCGTATTCGGCCTTTGGAGCATGTTGCGGGCGACAAAGCGGCAATAGAGGAAGAGTGGAGCGTAGTCGAGCCCGCGGCAGCGTCGGCGGATGAAGCGAAGGTGGCGCAGACGGTCACTGGAGATGGTGCGGCCCCTGTGAGCACGCTCATCGAGGAGCAGCAGGCAAAGCGGCGAAGGGGGTTCGTATCGAAGGCTAACGGTAAAGTTCGAGGGAAGGGGCCTGGAGGAGCTCGGTCGGGATGGGCATCGACAGGGAAGCAGGATGAAGCTACCATATCCGAGCTTCCAGTGGACACAGATTTGCTCGAAACCAGGGAGGGCGAGGAGAAAGAAAAGGAGAGTCTTCCTTTACAAGCAGACGACGAAGCGCCATTTTTGGCCGAAATCTCATCAGGTTCCGAGGAGCTAATGGGAAGTGAACTGAAAGGAAACGAGGAGCTGCCAGCTGATGATTCTGGAAATGGAGCTTCTGATGGCAGCGAGGAACACGATACTCACGCTAACCCTAATAGTCATGGCGATGAAATGCAAGGCGCAATCGAAGACGGTCCAGGACAAGCAAACGGAAATGGCTTTATTACAGTGAAGCAGCGTGGAGGAGAGCGAAGATCAGGCAGGCAAACTGCAAGAGGAGTCATCGCCTGTAGAGACATTGTAAGTAGAGACACCGTGAGCAGAGACACTTCAGGAGAGCCCAGTGGACGCTTTCAAGCAGCAACAGCTGCACCAAACGGAACCACCATCATTACTCCGAGCTCCAGCCAAAGAGTTTCGCTCTCCTCGGGCGTTAGTGGATGGTTGCAAGAGTTTGGCCTGAGCAAATACGCCGAATTGTTTGAGCTCAACGAAGTCGATACTGAAGTGCTCCCCCTTTTGACCATGGACGACCTGCGAGAAATGGGAGTAGACGCTGTGGGTGCTCGGCGTAAGATGTTCACTGCTATTCAAGAGCTAGGGCAACTTCGAGGCATTTAATTGAGGTGGGAAGATGGTTGCCCTATACAAGGCTTGTTAAAATCTATAATGATACAGCAATAGGTTTAGGGTTTGTATTCTCGATTTCATGTATAGTTTTAAAGTTTATGCTACACTCTTAGTGATTTTTGTACATTCTGACCAATTGGTGTCTGTATCCGCTATCGAGCTCTATTAGAAGGTGAAGGCAAGTGTTTGAAATCTGTGAAAGATAAAGTTATTTACTGACGCATAGTTTCGATTTTAAGAACCAGTAATAGAATGTGGTTTGGTTAAATTCACTTCTAGTCACCAAAGCGATACTAAAAAACTGAGACCTAGTCGTCTTTTTCTAGATTGTGGCCAAGGTGGCTATTAACTCAGGCATTTACGGTCTATAGCCATGTTGCAGCTTATTGGAGGTTACTGTCTGTTGGTTTCAGGAATTTAGGAAGGTTTCATCTTTTCTCTAAAAGTGTGCACTAGGCAGAGCAGAGGACAGGGCGAGCTATGTTATGAAGGTTTCAGGTATTGTGATGAGACGGTTGTGCGAGTATATATGTTTTTCTTGTAACAGTCTGGTAGCCCTTAGCCATAGCTAGTTTGAGTATGTCATTGCCGGTATGTTGGAAATTAAAATAGCATGTAAAACATATGCGATATCTGTAGCCACAGAGTTCTAGAGTATAGACGTTGTGTGTTAACACCCAAATGCATGAAAATGTATGTTCAGCAAAAGAATATTCGATGAAGAGTATATTTCTAGGAAGTTATTTTACAATACATTCACATTGTTCGTATTCTTGATTAGGAATCAGCTTTGGGCATTGCAGCATGGATATACAATTTGACTGCTTTGGAGGACTGGATGCACACTGAGATGCATTGAATTGGGCTCGGAGACAAAGAATCAACTGTACACTCCACCAGTTAATTATGTCCATGATTGCCTATTCTATTGAACACATATGGTCATATACAGCAGGAGAAGAGTGGAGTACAAGTTTCATCATCCAGACACGCCAAGTTCTGCCCGAGTTTTTGTTACGAAAAGGTCCTTGCTTTTGAGCATACCAGGCAAGCGTCCGAGGATAGGCAATTGTGGGACGATAGGCAACTGTGCGACACCTTCATATCGTCCCAACGAAACAATTCCGAAGGGTGTTGACAGAGGCTCATATTCTGCCAGTTTAGGCTGTGTCGGGGCTTGGATAAGTCTCTTAATGTTGTCTGCAACTACACCTGCTTGTTTGTTCGCCAGAAACCCTTGCTTAATCTCCTATAACACCAAAATCCATTCAATGTACTGTAAGAAAACTTTTACACTACAGATTTGGTGCAACTGTGAGGAATAATGAGTAATACTTGAAGAGATTTTCAAGTGAACTATTTTCAAACAAAGGCGAGATATCAAAGCAAGCGGATTTGTTTAAAGTGGTAGATGGCCAATTATACCTTCGTGTTGACAATGTCACCCACAGCAAAAATGTTAGACTTCCCTTCCAAACGCAAGTGTCTGTCCACTTTCAAGCGACCGTCACTGTCAATCAGTTGTCTGAGATCTGAATCTCTCAACCACGACGATCCAACATGCTTTCCAACGCAGATTTTTAGATACTCAGCCAGGATATGCGCGCCATTCTTTGTAACATATTGAGGGCCAGGCATGCCTTGAATTTCCACTCTGAAATCGTATCAAATAAAACCCAAATAAGATTCCATTTACAGAACCTTCTCAAGCCACATGTGATAAATTTATGAAGGCGAAGTGCTCACCTATCATTCAAACTCACTTCAACGTTCTTAGAACGCAACCAGTTTAGAGTTTTCTGTGAAGCTTTCGGGCCAAGGAACTGGAGAAGACGGTCACCAGAGTGTACCAATGTCACCTGCACTACTGGTTGTTAGTCGTTTGTCGATTGGCATTGACGACTTGATGGTAACACTGGATGCAGGTAGATAATCAAATCTTCCGGATGCATACCTTCTTGTCTGGAAAGTCCACCAAAATCTCTGCAACAAGCTCAACACCCACAGGACCACCTCCAATTACGAGCACGGAATTGGCTGCCAAAAGCTTCGTGTTCTCATCTTCGTACAGCTTGATGAGTTCTGCTCGAGTGCTTGGGCCGGAGTATGTCGTGCCCGTGGTAATGACAAGGTAATCGAATTCAACGTGGTCGCCTGAAGCCGTGATGACCTCGGACCCTGATATTCCTCTGGCTGCGCTCTGCACAACTCGCGCTGTCTTCAAATACTCCGAGTGCTTTATAATCGAGCGCTTCGCAAAGGAAGGTTCCACAATGCATCGCATTTGCGCGTAAGGGACCTCGAAGTACTCTTTCCTATGTATGCACCGACATCATAAACTTTTAAACAATGATATCAACAAGATTCATGGCTGTGGAAAGGCCACTATGACTATACTAAGCTGAAATCCCCCCCCCCCCAAACTCTTGAAATCTCCGAACGAGCAAGTTCTGGCAAATAAACTCGCATGGTCTGAAACAGCACATTTGCTTTGCAGAATGAACGCTGAGAAATGTGTAAGAATCAACGAAGGTAAGAATCTCACGGGTCAATTAGGGTAACATCAGCCACCTGTTCGAGTTTCTTTGCGACTGCCGAGCCGCCTACTCCGCCACCGACGACGACAACTTTCTTCTTCATGATTATAGTCTCCTTTTCGCATCTGTAGGTTCAGCAAATCAAAACCTTCGGAAACACCCTCTAATCTCTGTTTCATTTCGTATTATCTCACCAGAAATACAACAACCACAAAATATACAACAGAATGTTAAGAAAGTAAGTAGCGAGTTTCGCAATGATAATTGCTACGTCAATTACTCAGCCATTATCAAATTCCTCGCAAAAAAAGGGAAACAGAAAATCTAGAGCTAGGCGTCGATTCTCCTTCTAGGCTGCAGAAGACGATCACGCAGACTCTCTCATTTGTAATATCTCGCAATCTCTCGAAGCCCTCTAGTTTCATAACCAATACGTGTACTCACACCACCGACCAAAGTTTCAACTCCCCTGCATAAATCAAACCAAGTCCACCACGAAACCTCTCTAAGAAAACCCATAACCACCAACCAATGAGGGAAATGCAGCGGCAAAGACGGACAGCCTCCGACTGAACATAGCAGAGTCGCAACTACTTTAACTCACCCAAAGAGAAAATTGAGCATTGTAACCACAAAGCCCACGAGAGAGAAGTTCGCAAAATTCAACATCAGAACATCAGAAAATCGCAAGCAGATGCTTGCAAGCCACTCCGGGCTCCGAAGCGGAATACTACGCCACAATGGCTCCAAGTACTCAGGCCTGTCGATGAACCACGGGTAGACACGCGAGCCTTCACGATGAATTAGCCTCGTGAAGATTGAAGAGTATTCCTCGAGAACATTCCACCTAATTGAGATGGAACTCCAATACGCACAATTTCGATGATTGCGAAGGCAGGAAAAAGTTGCATGCTACTGCAAAAGCCCCAGCTATGACAGAAACGGGTCTGCGAAAAAGCGACGACGATCTCTCCGCAGTGAAAATCAATGTAGGGTTCGGTAAATTTAGGTCCCTGGAAGCGCTACGGGGGGGGGGCTGAAGGTGGTCGCTGGATTTGACATTGCCCACACCGTCAGCTAATTTTAAAGCTCCGCTTGAAATGTGTCATGTTGGAGGCGTTATGGCGTCTCCGATTTGCACAATAACAAGAGCGTCATCGGGAACTGTTCCACGCTGCGAAACAGCTCCGAAAAGCCTGAAATGAATGGGGAGCTCCTCCGAAAGGATCGAAACCCTAATCCAGTTTCCCTGTGGCTTCGATTGTGTGCGTGAACACTTGTAAGGCCCTATTGCCGTTCCTCACGGAGAAAGGAGGTCCAGGTAGGATGGACTGGAGAAGCGCCACTTGGCATTGCAGCTGAGACCCAAGTGGCATGAATATAACTCCCAACACTATAATATATTGGGTGTTATTCTTTTTTGCTGTGAAACCATTGTTTTGAAGAAAATTATTAAGGTTTAATAACTTATCTATTTATATTTAATAGAATATTGTTTGTCTATAATGGCAAAACTAATATATATATATATATATATATATATATATATATTAGAGATCATCTTAGTCATTGAAATAGTTCTTACAAAAAAAAGAACAAAAATTAAAAAATATATAATTAAACAACCATCTCTACCATAAAATTAGAACAAAAAAATATTTTTGTTTTCCTTATACCATATATTGAATAAAAGATGAGTTTGACAAATTTAAAATTACTAGTTGACAAGGACATGAATCTCAAAGAACTAAAAGATTGACACACTCTTGTGTCACTTAAAAAGGCTAAAAAATCATTAAAAGATGGTATGATATTAAACTAGAATGGCTATTGCCAAAGACAAGAAGACTAGAAAATCTTAAAACAAGACTAAGGACTAGAAAGGCATTGACAAGAGTAAAGAAGACTTCAATCTTGCCTCCATATATACTATCTAATTAGGAGCCCCATGGCAAAGCCCTATAGGACCTCCAACATGTGTCCAATTTGCAAGACATATATCTTAACTTAGAAGGCAAGTTTTCTATATGCGCACAATATCGTTAGCTTGGCCAACAAGTTAGCCATGTGTTGCGCATGTAGATAGCTTGTGGTATAAGTTTCTAACCTACCAATCAATTATAAACATATATATATATATATATATATATATATATATACAAATACATGTCTATAAAACTTTTAAGAAGCTTTGCTACAAGATAATATCAAATCTATCTATATTTATCTTATATCTAAAACTTCTTATCTAGGTAAATATATATGTCCATGATACTAGCTCAATGTAATGATTTTTATTGATTGATTGATTTATTTTTTTAAATCTTTGACAAAAACTAGGTCTATCAAAGATACACATGTCATACTAGTAATATAATATTAAATCAGAATGCAAATAGATACTACCAAAAATTATATATATATATATATATATATATATATATATTACTATTAACACCACAAAAAAGAAATTGTGTATGTATATACTAAAAGAAATCCATACCATTGGCCACAAAAGAACTATAAAAGTTTAATTTGTGGTTTCTTAGTCAATAATTGAAAACTTCTAAGGAAATGATGATTTAGGAAAGAAACAAAATAGAAGTGAATATGCATAACAATAAAACCGTTCATGTTTTCTTTATTGTAATTGGCAAATTTAATTTTTATTTACTACCACAATTTATATAGTTAAGTTAAAATAACTTTAGAATAAATAGCAATTGAGGTGGTTTTTTTGTCTTAATTATTTTTAGAACATATGATTTTAATCATATTTGAAATAAAGTAGTATAAAAATATGTGATTAGGCACATAAAAATATTCCTATATTTTTGTATATTTCTTCAAGTTTTTATAAATTCTCTAAGTTTATGTGATTTCATTGAATTCTTGTGCGTTCTTAATGTCTCTTTTTCATGACCAATCAAAAGACTTCTTTATTTCTTTGTATTACATAATTTTGCATCAATCTTAACTAATATTTCTATCTATTCCATAAATATTGCACAACTTCCAATTCTCATAAGCATTCTTTAGCATTCCTAAACTTAAACAAATTCAAGTGAGTTAATAATTTGACTCATTTAAAAAGCACCTTTCTATCTTGTAAAAATCTTTTAATATTTTGGTATATTTGAGATCTTTTAAAGGTTAGAGATTAAGTTTTCAATGTAGTTAATTTTTTTTGATTATGATCTTGCAAAGTGCTTATAAATTTAAGTTGAAGAAAATCAAAAGATTCTAATTAATGTTTTTTTCTTCCAAAAATAAAATTTTATCTACGCAACTATATTTTGTAAAGTTCTTCAAACATTGATTAAATAATAACAGATCAAGATTGGATGATATGTGAATTGAACTAAGATTATAATCCTTAGACAACTTAAACATGCATAGAAGTATTTTGTCATGTATCTTAAATTCATGAACATATCAAATGGATTCCATTGTTGTTGGCTATTGGAATTTAATTGTGATTTTTTATAATCTTTTTTGTTGAAGTGATCTTTAAAGTACTTCCATTTTTTATACTTGAAATTAATAAGTTATACATTGAAATAATGTTTTTATTAGTATGCATTGAGTTGCATATCTTTAGCAAATCAAAACATGATATTGAAAGATATTGTCTTATTTTTTATTATAAGATCTTGCTAGATATACTCATAGAAATTTTTTTATCTTTTTGACCTTACCATAAACATTCTATATAATTTTTTAGGACTTTAACACTTGAATATATAAATATTAAATATTATATGTTAGTCATCTTAAATTCTTTTATCAAAAAATGTATAACATCTTCTACTTGTAGCCACGATTTTTCAAAGATTTTAATAAAAAATAGACATAACTAAATTTAAACATCTTAAGTTTTGGATATTTGTTAAATTAACTTGAAATATATTCTCAAAGGGATAGTAATTGCTACAATGCATTGGAAGTAATTTTTATGTCTATTACAAAGTGGTTACAATATCCTATGTTTCTTTGTAATCTGAAATTAAGGTGAACTTATTTGTTTATATGAATACTTGAAGATGTGGATAATCTATTGTAGAATTTGTATGTATTTCTTTGCTAATTGATTGATTTCATCATTTTTATGCATATGCAATGATGAACCTTAAGAATCTATAAAAGTTGCTTCTAATGGCACAATATTAAATGGTTATAAGTTGGTTTTAGAAATTTATTTTAGTTGTAAAAACTCATGAGCTAGGTATGTCTGCCTCTAGATAGAGTTCTATTGCTTATTTAAGGACATAAAGTATGTCCAATAGTACTTTTTTTGCAAAGATAAAATAGTTAAAATAAGTAATGAGAGGTGTGTTGATGATTAAAGAAGATGCACATGGATGGTTTTTATTCTAGTATTGTTTGTAGATATGTTCTAAAAGCAAATCCAAGTTGACATTTGAAGTTGTCTTTGTTTTCAAGATAGAAAACTATTCTTTGTTTGTACAATATCTATGCTTTTAAAGTAGTGCTACCTAAAAGAATTTTGTGAACCATCCATTGAATCATTCATATTACTATCCATGTTGTCTTTATGTCATTTTAAATTCAATGTCATTTTTGACAATAAAGCTCAATACTATCAAAAAATATTTTTTTTAAAGAAGATATTATTGTCGCCATAGTTACACAACATTGAAGCATTGTAAAATGTCTTCATTATCATTGGATCAAAGAATTTAATGCTAAATCAATCTCTCAAGTTTTTAGTTCAAATTCAAATGGAAAAATAATTGATTTTCTATCAAAAAATATAATAAAGTTTTATTATATGTGCAATACCATATACTTTAGATCTTTAGGTTTTTTCAAAGATTTCATCCTCAGTTCTTTGGTAATCTCTTATTGATTAAAAAAATACAAAAAATAATAACAACTAGAGTTCTATTATTGCTTGTGGATTTTTTCTTGCACTAATTTACTATATTTGTCAAAGCAACTTAATATGTGATAAAAATGGTATCTTTAAAAACCTATAAAGAAACTTCTAAATTATTACAAAGTATTGCAGCCCTTTTGAAATACATGGCAAATAGAAAAACCATATGTTGTAGCCAATATATTCCTAATACATCTCTAAAAGCTTGTACTTCACTATTTTAAGGTTGGTAAAGTTTCAGATTCATTTTAAGTTTTGTTTTTTTATCTCAATTGAGATTGATAGCCGCTCTTTGAGAATTATTATGTTGTTGGAATGTTTATGATCTTCTAGTACCTCACAATCTTTAAGATAAAATTATGTTCATTTTGCAAATCAAAGAAGATAGGCATTTTTATATTTAATGTTTAAAGGTAGAATGCTATATGTTGGCTTTAAAAATAAAAAGTAAAAGATATGATTGAAAAGTGTATTCTAGCATGAAAAAGAGTTTGTGAAAAATCCATATTTCTAGTAAGAAAACTTATCTAATCTTATCTAAGTTGTTGGATCTATAAGCTATTTACAAAACAATGAATAATAACAAAAGAATTACTTTTAATAGCACCACCAGTTGCAAAGAGAACAAATAATAATTTCATAAATGTTGGAAAAAAGTAATAGGCTTCAAATATATCAAATTAATTTAACACAATACATCATAATAAAAAATCTTTAATTCATATACCACTTAGTTTCATAGGCCCTTTAAAAATACCATTATAGAATATATCTAAGGTCATAATCAACTAAAATCCATAAACCAAAATTGCTTCATGTTAATACCCTTAGATTTCATAATATTATGTTTCTTTGAAATATTACAATTTCATAGCATAATTTAGTATGTCAAGATATTTATATTCATATAATTTTAGCATGGGTGAAATTGAATCATCTGTAGGCTTTAAATTGAGTTACATTATTAATTTATTTCTTACAATGTTGCATCTATTTTCTTCATTGATTGTGAATTAAAAATTCAGATTTCATCAACAAATCAAAATTTAAATATTCTATAAGAAGATTCTTTAATTCATTATTTAATTGCTCTTAAATTTGTATATAATAATTATGAAGAATCTTTTGCAAAATTAAACAATAAACTAAACAAAAACTAAACAATCCTTAGCATTTCCAAATGAAACCTTTAATTCCAAAAATTAATTTATCACTCTCACACTACAATTATATTCCAATTGTATTTTAACTATGATCAAGGCTTTAGCATGGGTAGGATAATAAAAGTTATATTAATATTTCAGACGTTTTTTATCACCAAGTTGCTTA